TTTTAATGTATATTTTCTTTTGTGTGAATCCCCCCCCCCCCTTTAAAAAGTAGAAGCCTAGGTCACAGCCTCAAATGGGAAACCCCTCCACTTTGGCTGATACATTTTGTTTAAGGGATTGTAATTTCTTAATGTACAGCAATTCGCTATAATGTGAATGTTTAAGGTACAAAAACATGTTTGTTTAGCACTCGTGAAAATACTACACCAGCACAGTCAATATTGCCATGGCGACAGGGCACAGTTGACTGAATTTATCTCAACGTCAGGAAGCGGGAGATAATGCTAGACGAAAAGTAATTTAGTTTTCTAATATGATGTTTCTAAGCGTGTATTTTGTAATTAAATGTTCCTAATTCTGGGTCAAAAGCAATTTCAATAAAATCTTGTGAAATATTGAAATGAGAATATGATGAAACATTAAACTTGTGGTTTCATCTTAAACCACCATGATTCAGAAACATCCAAATGGATTTTGTCATTCTAGAGTAAAAAGTGATTTGCTGTGTTAGGTAACATTAACTGTCCGTCGCTCAAATCAAATGCTGACTTCAGGTTTGTGGGACCAGAAAGTCTCTTAAATGTCTTCTGGGCCAGTCCTCGGCCCTTTATTGTTTTTCTTTGTCTTCTCATATAAAGTATTTTCGGTCTTTTGCCTTTGATTTACACCTTGCCTGTACCTTGTGCTGTTGTTTGTCCTTGAAAGGTAAAAAAGCCTGCACGGCACAGCCTTGTCACCCTCTTTTCCCTGTTGTGTGCCTATCCAAAAGAGACCTTGGTCAAAACAACTGAAAACAAAAGCAGAAATCATATGTACAGGCAGGATCCACCTGTTTTGTCAGTTGTTGGCAACCTCACGTCAGAGAAAGTGCTTTTTTTTTTTGTGTGTGTGTCAGATGGACAAAAGCTGTGAAATAAAACCATATTCCATCAAGGGTAAAGCTGGTGGTTTGTGCTCTGATTTAAGCATGAATTTTTATCATAATAACATTGCTTAAATTAAAAAAAAAGACGACACGCAAACTCTAAGACAGAAAATAATTTGCTTCCTCTATTTTGTATTGATATGAGTCAGCTTTGTTGTACATAAAAGGGACGGTTGATCATGTGATATCCCTTATAGACCATGCTTTTTTTTTGAAGGAAATCAAAACAAAGTTATCAGAGAAGAGAATACATTTTTTTTTTTCTTTCTCAAATTTGGTTTAATGTACAGTTTCCGGTTTAATCGGGGTATTATTTTTCCATGGCAGTTAAAGAAATGCCTAACAAGACCATAAAACTTAATATGGCTACAATGCCAAAACAACAACAACAAAAAGTACATCAATTGTTTCAGACCGTATTACAAGGGAATAAAGAAAAAAGGAAACTTTTAAAAATATTCCATAAGGTATTGCTAAGGTTTCAGTCTCGACAATCACTTTAAATGAAGGATATGCATTTGTCTTTACAGGCAAAGTAATGTATCAAATCTATCAGTTATTTATACACATATATTCACTATACTTTATAAATGTATAACTGGAACACAGAGCTCATCAGTGGGATCTGTGTGGTAAGAAATACTGCACGACTGTGCCATAAAGACGAAACAAAAATGCAGGCGCATGCTCACAAACACTCTTCATAAGCACAAAAGTGAAGGCCATCTCCACAAGTTCCTTCTTAAACTCCTTGGCACCTGCCACCTGGAGAAGTAAGGCTTTCACTCCATCAGACAGATGGCTGGCCCAAAACTGCAAATGTTTAAGGAATATTGAGATTTTTTTTTTTCCAGGTTTAAGGAGCAACAATTAGTGTAAATTTATTAGAAATGTAAACTGCTAAGATTGGTTTGCAATACAGTCATTTTGTCTCACCTGCTCCTGAGATCTGCACAGTTTCTTGGTCAAACTGTCAGCAGCTTGGGACAGGACTCTGTGCTCAAGCAGGTCTGCAATTCTGGGTCTTCTCTTCAGCATTGACTGAGATGGAAAGATACATTAGCAGCGTACTTTATAAATGTATAACTGGAACACAGAGCTCATCAGTGGGATCTGTGTGGTAAGAAATACTGCACGACTGTGCCATAAAGACGAAACAAAAATGCAGGCGCATGCTCACAAACACTCTTCATAAGCACAAAAGTGAAGGCCATCTCCACAAGTTCCTTCTTAAACTCCTTGGCACCTGCCACCTGGAGAAGTAAGGCTTTCACTCCATCAGACAGATGGCTGGCCCAAAACTGCAAATGTTTAAGGAATATTGAGATTTTTTTTTTTCCAGGTTTAAGGAGCAACAATTAGTGTAAATTTATTAGAAATGTAAACTGCTAAGATTGGTTTGCAATACAGTCATTTTGTCTCACCTGCTCCTGAGATCTGCACAGTTTCTTGGTCAAACTGTCAGCAGCTTGGGACAGGACTCTGTGCTCAAGCAGGTCTGCAATTCTGATCAACTCTGCAGCCATTTCCCTTGCTGCCTGAGCCTCTTCAGCATTGACTGAGATGGAAAGATACATTAGCAGCGTTAACCGACACAGACAATGGCAAAAATATAGTACTTTTAATATAACTAATAATTAGGCATGCAAAATTGTCCGAAATTTTTATCAGTGTCTAATATACCTGGTACTTGAGGCTGAACCTGATGCTGAAGTTCATGTAAAATTTCTCTGTAGCTGAATGAGACATTATGTCCATCGGTTTGTAATTCCCCATCACTCTCAATATAATTGTGATTTGTAGGCAGCTTTAGCTGTTCATCAAGATCATCAAGCTCTCTTTTAAGCTCGCTATTTTGGCAGCCTTTTTGCTGAAGGAAGGAAAGGAGCACCAGGGAAGTGGCTGGAATGTTGCCAAAGTTTCTGTTGCAGTCCATTGCACAAACCCGTACAATGCCTCATACAGGTGCTCTGCGATTCAAGAAAAACACAAAAGCACTTCGTTTCATTATAAGATAAGATCAAACATGAGTCACTGCAACTGTTTTGAATGATTTACAAGAATATACATGGCCTGATGCATAACGTGCATAAAGTTTTCTGTTAGGGTGTAGTATTTATTTATGAATTTGGCAGACTCTTTTATCCAAAGCAACTTGCACTGTATTCCAGGTATGAATTTTATCAGTTTATGCATTCCCTGGGAATCGAACCCATGACATTAGCGTTGCTAACGCAATGCTCCACTGTTTAATCTACAGGAACACAATAGCTGTATGTAATATATATGTGTATGTGTGTGTGTGTGTGTGTGTGTGTGTGTATTACAGCTGTGTATAAAAACAATATCTATATAGATTGCTATATATAGCTAAATAACCTAAACGTAAATAAATGTGCGACCTTTTTCGGTCGGCTTAAATAACATCATGAAATATCCCAGCCCTAACAAGCTAGCAGCTGATGATATTGCCTGTTTATTAGTGGCTAGCTAATATTATTCGGTGATTATTGAGGATTGGGGTTGATTTTATACATGTTTTAATGACGTTTACAAGAGCCGTTTAAAGCAAGAGCAGTTTTTGCAAAACAGAGATCAGTTGTAGAAAAAAATTATTCTCAGATCGAAACAAAGAAAAACTGTAGTCCAAATTCATCTCTAGGGACCACACAAATGACACTTAGGCTAGATGAAGCTCAGTGATTACGTTAATTCAGTTAAAATAAAAAATACCAGCCAGATGCAGAGCACTTCTGAACATTAACGTTAACTTACAGGAAACTTGAGTCAAACTGAAGGAAGCCTGAAACTTTAGTCTATCTGGGTAAATATAACAGTAAACACGTGAATGAATGTTTATATTTAAAGACATAGCACGAACTGTCGTAACACTATCCACAGAAACTATGATAAAACACTTGCGACTAGGCTACGATCTAGTAGCAAAAATACCGGTTAACGTTATTTATTCTCCTTTCAGGCAAATGTTTAAAATCCTGTCTATATACGTGTCGAGTGTATTTTACAGTGAAAGAACAAACATTCGTTACTTACATAAACTTCAAGTCAAAACATCATGTAATAGTGAAGCTTTGTAGCCCAATAAACAATGTTCTGCGACTCTTAAGAATCCCCCGCCTTCCTGCGCGTCAGATGACGCTGCACAGAAGGCGTGGTCAAAGACTAAGGAAAAGCGAAAGCAGCTAGAAATCCACAAGTAGTAGATAATGTTATTGTCGCTGTTTACTTAAAGTGTAAGGCATAAAAAAATAGGTGCGACCTTTCTAAACGTAGCAATAGTCGAGAATAACTCAGAAGGCAGAGATAAACAGACGTTAAAGTCTCAAATTATGATGTGAACACGGGACTTGACCCTCGTTCTTTTAACTTAACTTCTCTTTAGGAGAGAGGGGTTTTTGGAAATGGAGTTCCCCTTCTGTTAGACTGCACATGCTAGATAAAGAATACTGAGGAAAAGTTGGCTGAACTATTACACCACCTACACTGTGGAATATGAGGCACAGCAGTAAATAGAGCATTCAGATTGAAACAGATATTCCAAGGCCCCTGTCCTAGACAATATACAAAAGTCTCCGAGAAGTGGGGCCAGCTATAAATTTGCTAAGGTCCTTTGTTTGAGAATCACTGTACAAGGAAATCTAATCTGCTAGAATCACCCCTTATTGTCAATACGAAAACACATTACCTGACTGACATCCAATTGTTTAAACTGGTAAATAAAACAGCATTACATTTAATTTAAACATTTAAAAACTTTATTTACAATTAAAATGCACCAGTTATTTGACAAGATAAATGTGCCATTCAACAGTAAACCATAAATATGCACCGATTCATGCCACAAATAAAACTACGTGAAATGGTGATGTTCAGGGTTAAGACAAAAACAGGACCTGAAGT